AGTTAGACAAATCCCAAGCACAAACAGGCTGGACAAAAACAGTGTGCCTTACTTACCATCAAGGTCAACCGAATGGAGGTCTTACAAAAGAGATGAAATATGAAAACCTATGGCACAGCAGATTCCATCTTTGTGGGATAACTCACCCAATTCATCTGCAGACTTTTTGCCTCCCTATTAACACCAACGTAAGCAAAGTGCCTGATTCTGGATGGTATGTAGCGCTTGCCCAAGTCCCCCAGAGCTTTGCCATAAGCACCATGGGATGCAATAATATGCTTCCAAACATGAAAGTATAAAGCATGAACTCTTCAACCAGTAAGAGTTGCTGCCACTAATTAACTGTGAGACCTTCCAGTTTTTCTATTCTCATGACCTCTGTAGAGCAACTTTACAATAGTACTCCAGTATTAAGCTGGAGATCCGACCTCTACGTAACGTTGCCATCCATTGCACCTTATAGTGGAACATGCTGGCCAACTCTTCTGATTCTCAGAAGCTGGAGATAAAACACCATTGCTGCAATCTTTGGGCCTTCAAGTGTCGTTTCCAAAAGCTGCCACCTGCAAGACTAGACATACATCCAGAATATAATTCCTGTTGAGCCGCCTTACAGGCTCGGATTTAGGACTGTGGATAATATGAATGTCTCTCCCTTTTTCCACCAGGATCCTCTGTAGTTTAAATGTCATTAGGCCGTAACCTTCTATAAAGTTTTGTCTCAATGTAATTCTGTCAGTGATAGGCATGTTTCTGTTACACCACATCCTAGCCATGCTTCAGGGTAATGAAGTAAATCCACACTACTGAAGGCCTTTTCTCTTAATATTTTATTCTTAAGAGTTCGTATTTTATTTTATTTTTTTCTTTATTGCTTCTCTAATATTTTGACAGCACAATATGTCACTTACACTCTTTAATTGGGGTACTTACTATGAATAATCTTGTCTTGTGCATTTCTCATTTTGTTCAAAATGTTTTTGGAAAATGTGGGTACTATTTATCGATATTCTCTCTGGACATGTTGGCTTTCCTTCAATCTTCATTTTGGTCATATCCCATAATATATGTTCACATGAGAAAGATCACCATCAAAGTAAATAAAATATAAGATTTAGAATAATTATATTTATCAAGAGTGTGTAGTATGCAATGTATAGCATGTAATAATTAAATATGAAAAAAAGATTTGAAAAAAACTTATGTATACTCCAATCTACTGAGGTTATGATGCTTTTATAAGTACAAACTAAAAGTATTAAAGAGCCTAAAGAAGACACTGCATGCACACTCTGGAATGCTAATAACTGCACGTGAAATTACAAGCTCTCTTGGAGTCCGTTCCCATGTCCTAACATTCCTAGGGAGTGATACGCAATGATGTGTTGTCTTTCAGCAATGAGGTTCCAGTTCTCTAAACTAATGGTCCACTGCTAACAGAGAATTATCTTCAAGCAGAAGAATTAATAGTCAAAAGTAACTTAAAAATCAATCTGAGCAGGACTTCATGCATTTTCTTCCTGGACTCTTAATGCTTTGTAATTTTAGCAGAGGGATCATTGTTTAAACTAGAGGTTACTGTACCTTTAATCTGTCGGTATTGCGTCTATCTGTTCAACAGAACAGGAAGATGTGGGAATTCTGTAACTTTCTCTGATATGATCAAAGTAAGAACATTGTGTTACTTATTCTTGGGAAAAATAAATATACATTTGAACAATACACTTACTAAACACAGCACGATAGTACCTGCGAGTTCTCAGAATTCAAAATAATGAATCCATTTGATTCAAGGAAGCTTAATTTTATATTTAGAAATATGCATTCATTAAACTTTTGCTGCTTTTTAAGTTACATTTTATACATGCGTGAAAGAATGGTGTATTCAAAATATCTCTTATAAATATACAAAAATAATAATAAATCTAAATATTATTGGAAATGAAATAAGAATATTATTTCTAAAAACATCAAGTACACATGTTCAAAGGTAACATAAACACTAAGTAACATAAACACTATAGGTCAGTGTAGCAGTTATATTGGCCCCAGTTTGGTATAGCTTGTTAAAAAATTAGGGCTCTCCCTGGCACTTGCAGTGTACCAGTAGACATGTTGCTATTGGCATATCCAAAAATGTAGGTTTTAATGAGGTGTAAAAAAGAACAGTAGACAGGTAAAGTGAGCCACTTAATTTATAAAAAAAAACATAAAAACTTCAAGCCTGCGTAATATTTGCGTCAGCCCATAAGTAACAGGTTGCAGCTATTTTTTCGATCATCTCTTTTAAAAGGTTTGCAATTCCCAAGTTAATTCTAAACATCCTCAGTTCAATGAATGACATTATAGGTCACAGAACCAGTATTGAACTCTTACTATAACTAGAACCTTTTTCATACCTTTTCATACCATAACATTTAGTTGTTACTCTATCCAATATTTAGTTTTACATTTCTGAAGAGACATGTCTTTATGAATACGAATGTCGTACAGAACGAGTAGCTAAAATATTCCCTTTAATTGCTGCCCAACATTTTTATGGGATGAATTCTTCAGGGTCCAGCGGTCTTTTGTATCTGAAGGCACATTCCAAGATAAACCTCAACAGGAAATGTGGTTAGAGAATAAATAATATTTTAATGAAACCTGATTTTGTCTGGAAATGCCATATTTGATTACAATCTGCAGATAATAAATACATTTATTTTACAAGTTCAGCTTGAGGGTTTTTGGCAGGGTCTTCAGCTCCCTGGTGATTCAGATGGTGCCCCAAATATCTGCATATCGGCACCCTCCACAGCCACGCTTCAGGTTCGGGCCTCTTTCACCAGTAAAGGGGTAAGTCCCTAGGTTCCTTAGGCAGTGGTTGCACAACATACACAGTGGTGCCTCCCCTATTTGATGATGGGGATTTAATGAAGGGAAATGGTGCCTTCCCTATTTATTACTCTCTGAAGCTCACCCCAGTATTCACTTGTGTGCCCATAGTTCTCCAGTCTGGTGGTACCTGTTGCACTTATTCTGACTCCCTGGCCTTTGACCTCTTGTCCTTTAATTGCCTAAGAACCTACGCTGCCTGGACTGACATATTTAGATTCTCCCTTCCTGTACCTTGCTATTGGTGTAATTTTTGCATATTGGGTTCCTCCCACTCCAAACCCCTGACAATCTTTTTTCAGATTTTATATAATGTGACATATCAGTTCCATCAACATCACATGTTTTATAGTATTAGAAAAGAAAGGATGGGGGGTTAAATGTATATATAAGCTGTAGTATAATAAAATATAACTATACTCTATAACAAGCATGGCCACATGCACACTTTGGAATTAAAAATCTTGTAATTCCCCACAGGGGCCTCAGAGGAGGTTAAAGAGAGTGATTGTATAAATTACCTAGACATCTGCAGATGAAATATATCACCTAAGGATAGGTTTGTCACAGCACACTCATTAATCCTGCAAGCCGGAGCAACGACCCCACGATACAGAGGACTTTCTTAAACTGCCTGACGGAACTAGAAACCACCTCCCAGCAACACACAAGAGAAACGCCACAGAAAACCCAAAACCTCAGCAGCACTATCCACATCCAGACAAGAACTACCATATCGTAACTATAACTGCATTAATGAGCACATTGATTTTAACATGTTAACACTTTTTAAGTAGATTGAGGTACCAAATGTGTATTGTATGTTTATAGGGCTAAAATACCTAAACTACACTATGACCAACAGACAATAATGCAAATGTATCACTGGCCAGTTATAGTAATTAATATGTGCCCCACGCACCTAGGGCTAAGATAACAGATCTCCACTTTAACCACCCACCGAAAGTGTAACTGCTCGATGGCTGGGGCATATTAATTAACTAACATGGGATTTAGGTATATAGGACTCTGGTACCGGAACCACACGCACATAAACCAACTACCGATAGCGAAAATAGACCATTAGACCACGTAAGAACCCACTATGAAACAAACTCACCCACTCCATAGCATCCCCTATTAGTAAGCCCAACCCAACGACACACAATCAACAAGAAGGTCCAAAACCCTTACAACCGATACCAGAGACAGCGGTCCGCGCTCCAATCAGTTTGCAAAACGTTATATTGTTGCTGTTGAAATGTTAAACTAAAGATATGTTGTTTTTTAACCTCCTTCTCTTACCGTGCACTGAATACCCATCAAGATGCAATAACAGATAACCCTAAAAGGAGACCTTGCGACAACTGACCAGTCACCGAACACAAGCACAACCAACCGACAGACCGACGAAGAGACAACCAGATGACTGAACTCGCATGATTCCTCCTGACCCCTCATGAAACAGACAGGTACAACCTGACAATCTCCAACAGCACTGACCAACTGCCAACCACACGGGCACACACCAAACATAGAACAGCCTGCCGGTGGCTCTGACCTGAAGACCATTACCCCCCACGACTCCTGACCAAGACCCCAGGACGTACCCACGGAGCGGTTGGACGGACCGCCCCACATCCTACTGGCCATTAGATAAGCCCAGTAGCTTACCACACCACTCACCCGCCACCCTTGGTGGATCCCTGACACCCGACAACCCACTCCCCCAACTCTTCTTCCCCCTACCAATCTCAAACCCCCCCTCCCCTCAGGGAGACAACCCCCATCCTCCTACCGCCTTTCCCCTCTAAACCCTGACGGTCCGGGCTCGCCCGGGTGCGCAGGCCGAACAGGCCCACGTCCCACACCACAGGGTAACACACCCCACACACACTGCGATGCCGACTACCCTACGCTGCGTGTCCATCAACGCAAAAGGACTAAACTCCCCCACCAAGAGACATAACATCCTTAGGTGGGCACGCAAACAACGTGCCGATATCCTTCTCATTCAAGAAACTCACTTCACGGGGGCGGGGCCTGACCTGCAAGCAGTGCAGTCGCATGGTGGATGAGCTCCCATCACACAGGCTGTTTATAGGGAAATACTAGCAGCTCTCATGCCTGAATTGAAGCCGGGGTGTGCTACCAATGCTGGGGGCGCCCTGGTGAATCGTCCGATACCGGACTCGAGTGTTTCCCGCAAGCGAGAACTCAATGCGGCAAGCTGCGGCCCGCGGTGGACGGGGCAGGGGGAAGACGGCCGCTCCCCTCGCCTCAGCGCCCGGGGCCCAGAGACTCCGATTACCCGCTCCCCCCCCTCAGGACCGGCGGGGGTGATCCCGGTCCAATTCTTCCAGGCAGCAGGGCTTAAGCGCAAGCTGACAGCAGAACATACAGGGCAGCCCCATGCTACACGGGCACTTACAATGGCGGACACCACGTGCATTCAAAACTGCCACACGGACAAGCACAGCATTATGGACAAACTCAAAGCCATACTTGACGCCTTCTGGGCACGAATAGCGAGCAAGGAGCGACACACTAAAGTGTGTAAACCCATCAAAAGACCCGCACATACCCACCGCAACCGCATAGGCCCCCACCTGATGGGACCTAAAAGTTGGCGCCAAAGACGGAGATCCCACCTGCTTAAACACAAACAGGCAAGATCAAGCCACACTGTGACCCTGGCCCGAATTGGCCCACAAGCTCACCCCAGACCCTGCATGAAGCGGAGACCCGAACAGCAACCAATAGCAAGCAAGCTTCACTCACAGCTCCGATCCTACCCGACGCCATGGAGAGCTCCAAAGCACCAAACGGAGAATACACTTACCCGCAACGTCCATGCCGGTTCCTGCGGTGACGAGCAGATGAGACAGCAATTGGAACACACAGCGCTGCTCATGACAGAGCCTCAGCAGGACTTTCAAACGATCCCAACACCCTTCAATGCGCTGGGTATCGGCTGACCGAGCACTCCCAGACCGGGACACACAGAGATATAAGCCCAAAGCCTCTAATACAATAGACGCTGTCCATACCACATTGGCACCTCTTGGGTAGAGACTTTCCACCGACAGAGGACTTTAAAGTAACATTCACCGCTCACCCATTTTAATTGGTTTTGCACTCATAATATTCATCCCACACTTGCACTATGCATTACTGTACGCATGGGCCATGCTCCCAGTTAACCTGTCACCTCTTAACATAAAGATGATATACCTGCCTGCCTGGCAACTTGCATGTTTAACACCTACGTCTGTTTTTTCTTCTCCTTTCATATATAACATGTATAACCTGTGATGCACACAGACTAGTTTAAACACTGTTCTAGCCTAATTAAAGTGTAACACTACTCTCACAAACTGATATGTATAAGCTAACAATAATATAAAAATGTGCCTTTTAAGCAAATGTCCCGCATGTTTTGCGAGAAAAAGCTTGAGGATTGCTCTCGGGGCACCTCATGCCTGCTTGTAATGTTTTCTGTGCACTACAAAAATAAAAAATTATAAGAAACTCACTTCACAACACGCCGCACATTCCCCCTCACCAACAGATACTACCCCCATAGTTTCACCGCCTCCTCCACAAACTCCAAAACTAATGAAGTAGCAATAGTTATGACCGCAAGCTGCCCCTTAATAGACATCACCCAAACAAAAGACCCACAAGGGCTCTATCTCACAATCACAGGGAAAATAGGTACAGTAGCATACACCTTCTCTTCCATATATGCACCCACAACACCAGACGCAGCCTTCTGGCAACAATTAGCAACGCACCTCAACACTTACTCCGCCACACGCCTAATAGTAGGAGGTGATTGTAACGCCGTCCACACGCCGACCATTGACAGAACACAACCCAACCCCGCACGCACCCGCATATCTCAGAACGACAGACTCTTTGCTAAATTCTTAGACACCCAACACCTAAATGACATATGGAGAGCGCAACACCCATCAACCAAAGACTATACATTCTTCTCACACCCACACGGCACATACTCACGGATAGATCACTTTCTGGTCTCCCCAAATCTAATACCCCAAATCACCAAGTCAGACATTGGCTTAATAGCCTGGTCCGACCATACGGAGATAGCAATAACCATAAACCTACCGGCAATACACAGACACTGGACCTGGCGACTAAACCCATTGCTACTACACGACAAGCTAATTAGAGATGAAATAGCCAAAGCAATCAAAGAGTACTTTGAATTCAATGCCCCCACGGCAATCTCATAAATATCTCTATGGGCTGCACATAAAGCAGTCATTTGGGGTACTCTCATTAGCCTAGCCACACATAAGAAAAAGCAAACCCAACGACAAATAACTGAAGCAATGACGGCACTGCGCCACCTGGAGTCAGAGCACAAACAATGCCCTAACCCCACCACACTGAAGGAATTAACAGCAACTAGGGACCTCCTCAAAACCCTCACACAAGCAGACACAGCCAAAGCACTCATGTGGCTCAAACTAAAATTTTATGAAAAAGGGAACAAGGCAGATACCATGCTAGCTCGCCGCCTCAAAAAACGCACCGACAATAGGCGGATCTCCTCAATCCGCACAGAGGAAGGGAATCTTAGCAACTGCCCACACCGTATAGGTAAAATCTTTCAGGATTACTATACGGACCTTTATAACCACGACCAACAACCCCTTGAAACAAGGGAGTCCCTCACCACACGCACAGACACCTTTTTACAAAATGCAATGTAACGGATCACCTGGCACCCCGACTGGGTACCTCCGTTAAAGGATGCTCCTAGCGTTTCCTGAGGACTCCAAGCACTCTGGCAGACACTACAATCACCGAACCGGAGAAGCGTATACCTTCTCTCAAGCATAGGAATGCTATAAACAGCTGAATAGGCAAAAACCATACGGATGGGTTTAGACTCCTAGCAGTCAAACTGGAACAGCATACAATAAATCCTTCCCCAATAATGAGACGACACTTCACTTTGAGGGTTAAGCAGGAACTCAAGATTTATTCACACCACCTCCTTTTAAGACATTCTCCCATGCAAGGGAAGGATCCACAACAATTAGTACCCCAGCCAATAATGTACCAGTTACCTCCCACACATCTCCTCCCCTTTGTGTGACACATAATCCCATTAGTACAGACACAAATTCCCTGGGTTACTGGATGTACCCCTAAACATAGGGTTACCCCTTTAAATGTTACATTCCCTGGTAGCCCTGATCTGGGTGAGACACATATCCAAAAATCACCCAGATCGGACCAGGGGTTCGGGAATTATGGAGGGTTAAAGTTTTGACCGACTGCATGGCAAAAGTATCGGAAAATAGTTCCATGTATTTTGGCCCTGCAGTCGGTCACAGAAAAGGGAATGAAAACACAGGAATTGCCTGGGTTATAGAGCCTGGGGAGGGTTTAAATGAATTCCCTTGTTCGTGGGGTTCTTTCTACCGAACGGCGGGTCATTCGGTAGTTTCTACACAAATTCATGGAAGTCTGGAGGTCTCAGCGGTGTTTGCCTAGTCGAGTGTCCGATTTTAGTTCCAGACACTCGGCAAAACACCGTTGTTCGGGAGTTTAAGATGGCCGCCGCCACATGTTCGTTTCCCAATTGCCAATTACCCGTTTGCAACATTGTTGCAAACGGTAATTGGAGGCACACTTCTTCCTGGGTGGTCTGGTTGTTCGGTAGTTTCACTCAATATAATGAATGGAGTGATTCTACCGAACAATCAGGGGAATGCTGCATACACATAAACAATTTACCCGAACACACAGAAACATACATAATATAAAAGACATCCTTACTGTAATCTGCTACCAAGTCTTAAAGGGGTATTGTTCCTAAAAGTCATAATATGTCCCCGGATGGCCCTTAAAGGGTCAGTAGCCGCAATATAAAATATCACATGCCCAAATATTGCATTAAAAGTACAAATTTACCAGGGGTCATAGTCAGCAGGTAGGAGGCGGGCAGCCAGGCCTCTCCAATGTCCAGTGGCGAGGCGGGTTCTGCCACACGCAACACTACCCAAACTGTCCCAAGAGGCCAAAAGAACAATAGGACAAGAAGTCACGGTAGAGGAAATGGCACAGGCAGTAGGATCGTTCAAACCCAGCAAAAGCCCGGTACCTGATGGATATACTGCCATCTACTACAAAGAATTTAGCCCCTTACTCCTCACACACCTCCGCGCAGTCTTTAATGCGGCACTCAAAGGGGAAAAGCTCACATCAGACTTCACTAATGCAAACATCTGCCTCCTCCCCAAACCTGGAAAAGACCACACTGACCCCGCTCATTACAGACCTATCTCGCTGCTCAATGTAGACCTCAAAATCATGACTAAAGTTAACAGACTGGACCCATACCTAGGCTCCCTCATCCACCCAGACCAGGTGGGATTCATCCCCCATAGGCAAGCAGCGGACAACACACGGAGGTCCATAGACCTAATTTGGCTGGCCAACCACAAACACAGCCCTACGGCCATAATATCGCTAGATGCAGAAAAGGCCTTCGACCGCCTGTTATGGCCGTTTCTACACCGAACCCTAGCACACATAGGACTACCCAATGAATTTACCTCATTCTTGCAAGCGACATACCACTCCCCTACAGGCACACTCCTCCTGCCAAACATAGTCCCACCGCAGTTCCCCATATCAAACGGCACACGTCAGGGATGCCCTTTATCACCACTACTATTCGCCCTTTCATTAGAACCCCTGCTGCAGGTGGTGCGCTCCAGCCGGGAAGTAGAAGGAATCACAGTATGAGGAGAAACATTTAAAATCTCGGCATAAGACGATGACATACTCCTGACCCTAACCAACCCGGAAAGCTCACTTATCCCACTTCTTACCATCATACGCGAATACTCTGAAATCTCGGGGTATAAGATCAACCTAACTAAATCTGAGCTTTTACTGATACAAATACAAACCCAGAGCTTAACCAGGATCACACACGCAGTCCCCCTGCGAATCTGCCACACAGAAATAGGATACCTAGGTATTAAACTACCGGCAGACACGAACACCTTATACGCAAGAAACTACACTCCCCTATTTAGAAGAGCCCACGAGGACCTAATAAAGTGGAGACCCTTAGGAATCTCTTGGATGGGATGCATCGCCTCCATCAAAATGAACCTCCTCCCCAGATTCTTGTATCTTTTCCAAACTCTCCCAATTCCTATCCACAAACAAGATTTCAAAACCTTACAATCAGCTATAGATACATTTGTCTGGAATGGCCACAAGCCAAGAATACGCAGGGGCACTCTGTACGTACCCAGGAAATGCAGAGGCTTAGGACTACCTAATCTCGTACATTATCATTCAGCAACGCACTTAGCACAGATACAACAATAGCATGTCCCACCAGGGGAAAAACAATGGGTGGACTTAGAACACCTGATATTCGTCTGGGATCACCCGTCCCTTTATATGTGGACACCAAAACCACACAGGCCCATACCCCCCACGACTGCACGCGCGATCACACACGCACTTGACCTCTGGGACAAACTCAGAGACAAAGTTGGGCTATCTTCCTACCTCTCCCCCATGACCCCAATCTGGAGGAACAAATTATTCCCACTAGGATTCACCCCAAAACATTTTGCCCACTTCGAACAACGAGACATATCACGATTGGGACACCTTTACCAAAATGACACTATCATCCAATTTTCTGAAATTAAAGACGCATCCTCACTCACCTTTGATCACTTTAGATATATACAATTACGCAGCTTCGCAGCAACCCCGATCATACGACAAGCCGGTACAGCCCCACTCACTCGCTTTGAATATGACTGCACAAAGCAGCCTAATAGACAAGGGCAAATCTCTGACATGTACATGACAATAGCCAACCACCACACACAACTGGCCCTCCCATACATAACAGCGTGGGAAACAGACCTAGGCCCCCCTGACGAAGCCACCGATTTGT